CCTTGGCCTGGCGGATTAACATCGGGGCTGGATGGCGGCCACATATCCTTTGCCCAGAACGGAAGATGTTCCTGCAACGACTTCTGAGTGCGGCCTCGGACCATACTGTTCTTTGATCCACGGAACTACATACTTACTTAAAATCCCGACGTAGACCACCGTGTTGACCTTGTCGCTTTCTGGAATGAACACCGGGTCCATTTTTTTGCCATCGGAAGCTACCAATCCAAACACCATAACGGTAGCAGGATGCTTGGTCAGATACACGTTCTTGTGCTCGTTGGCCACGTCTTTTACCGGAAGAGAACTAATATACCGGTCGGTTCTGGAATTTGATACGAGATCGACGGTAAACATGCTCTCGTCGGTGAACAGGATTACCGCATTTTTTCCTAAAGGAAGTTCAAGATTTTCTTGCATTGTTCGACTCGTAGCTCCCGGATGCGGTTGGTAATCATGTGAGTTTTTTTTTCCGTGCTCTCGACTTCGCCCCGAAATCTTTCTTTACGATCTTCCGTGCCGTAAAGTCACTGATCCCGTGTTCCTTTGCCATTTTCCTTATTGAACGCACTGGATTCACCCGAATCTTCCTTTTGATAGCGGCGATAACCCTCTGAACCCGAGCTGACCTCGGGCGACCTGGGGCCACCTTCGCGGATAGTTGTCCTTTCTTTTCTCGGTCTAAAACCCTTTTGACGGTCCACCGGGGCACTCCCACGGCGATTGAAATGTCTTTTTGCGACAGTTACGCGTGGGAAAAATCACGAATACGCTGCCACTTCGTCATGGTGCAACCACAGACAAACAGACGTAACTCTGTTGGGAATGGATGAGCACCTTGATATAAGAGAAAACCAATTTGATTACTGGCTACACTGTATTTGATCCTTTTGACGTTTTGTATCATTCCATAATAAATCAGTTACTTTCACACACGCGTTTCTAGTTTTTCTCCCCGAAAGTATCCGCGGTTTCTTTTGTCTGCTCTCTGGTGTTCCCTTTGTTCGTTTCCCGGTGATTCCGTGCGACTCTGTTGGTGCGTCCAGGTCCACAAACTCTTCATTGTGTATCTTCGTTCATGCATTTAACGGTTGATTTGAATATTATCAGTTCCGCGAACTACTCGCCGCAGCGCTGGCATCCGATCACTTGACGTTTCTATATATTCTATAGAAATTTTATGCAATATTGTTTACGAGTTAGCGAGCAAGCTTGTTTTCCGCGAGAAGCCAGATAGATGTCGTTACTGAGGTTATATGTTTTGAGATAGTATGTTTTCAAGAACAAGTTTTTCAAAGAGTTACGTCTGTTTGTCTGTGGTGCAACTGTCAAACTAAGTAAATCATTTTCTTTTATACACAGCCTACTACGGTATGAGATATAGGTTACGTGCATGTAAAGAAAACCAAGGCATTGTATGCACAGGTGAAACGGGAACCTTATTTGTACGATGGTGCAAACATTATCACGCATATGGTAATTATCGACTCACCCTTTAATCGTTGGCTGTTCAGTTTTTTTTTTACTACGGAACTGTTCGGTAAAAGTTTTAAAATCAGTGAAAAATTCAAAAATTAGAAAATTTATCCCGATGTTGTTCAGTAAACCCCATTTGATGATAAAACAAATTTATCGATTTTATTGATTTCTTAAGTACAACGGTCATTTCAGGCATAACATTTGATAACGGCACAAAAGCATTTGTAAATAAACTTTCTAAGGCCCTTTACACGCGAACCAAAGTACGCCCACGCAAACCATCAACATCATCGGATAGGGGCAACTATCACCTTTCCGAAAGTGGTATTGGTTTGCGTGGGCGTTCTTTGGTTCGCGTGTAAAGGGCCTTAGAAAGTTTGTTTACAAATGCTTTTGTGCCGTTATGAAATGTTATGCCTGATTTGAAATTTTACTGACAGCTGTTCAAAAACCCGGTGAAATTTACCAACTTCGGTTATATAATTGATTATTGGGATTATGCGTAGAATTTTAGGGAATTATAAAAAATTATAAAATCCTGAAGGAATTTTGACAAACTTAATGATGAAATGGATACAATTTTCGTGCAACACGAGAAAAGGGCCTATCCATTGTTGATAGATTCTCTTCATCGATTTTCTCTTTCGCGGATAACCCGATTGCAAATGAATTTTCCAGTGAGTGTGTTGTTTCAGGTGCAAGCTAACATCGTCTTCAGTCAAACTGTGATGCGCCTGTGAGCTTAACGAGAAATTCGTTTATGTAGCCGTGGTACGCCAAAGAGAATGTCGATGAAGGGAATCGATCAACGAGGATAGGCCCTTTTCAAATGTTACGCAAGTATTCTGACACTAACCTTAACCTTTGCGTGCCTAACGTCTAAACTTGCATAAATTTCAGAATTAAAATAGCTCTTTTTCTGCACAACAAAGTGATTTTTTTTCGGAAATCAATTCAAGTTTTTTCATCCTTCAGGAAAAATTTGGATCAAAACATGGTTCCGGAGTTATTCCGGTTTCCGTTGGGGTCACTTTGGGTCGGCATTCGGCTTTACTGTTTTGTAAAAATTATACACACCGTGAACATCAAATTTTCTCACTCAAATTATGTAATTGGACCACTGGCGGCTATACCGATGGTCCATGATCACATTGTGCATCCCGGAATAGTTCCGGTGCCCTATCTCAATCTGGTATCCGGTGTCTATACTCAACAAGAATCTAAACCCGTCGTGCGACGTATTAAACTTAATGTGCAGAAAACGATTGAGGAATTATGTTTTTAGAGCTAATTGAATTTTGAAATTTATGCAAATTTAGGCGTTAGGCACGCAAAGGTTAATGATCACCTACAGCTGCAAATCTCATAAAAGTCAATCAACTTAATTCTGACTTAACGCTAAACTTAATTAGAAATTTATTTTTGTTGAATTTCATGCTAGTTTGAGAATAGTTTCAAGGAACTTCCGGAGAGGGAAATTCTGAACATTATTTCCAAAAAAAAAACAAATGAAGTAGTGTTCCAGGAGATTCCAAAGAAATGTCCAATTCTAAAGAGGGCTTCATGAGACTTCCAAATAGAATTCTAAGACTATTACAAGAGACACTTTCAACGTAATTTTTAAACGAATTTCTGAGGAATTGTAAGGAAAAATCCCATTCCATTCTGTGGTGAAATCTAAGGATGTTTTGGAAGACTACTTTCTAAATTCTAAAGGTCATACCAAGATATTTCTGGTAACAAAATGGAAGATCCTTAGCAAAGCAAACTGTTAAAGATTATGGGACCAGACATTTCTGAGAAGTGTAACAGTGAGAGGTATGAGATCTCCGAGATCTCAAACTCGTAAAAATCCTTTATACGCCCAAGTCGTATGCAAATCCAATATCCCAGCCATGGATTCTGTGACATGAAAAATTGTCAAGGTTCTAGAATTAACAAAAATAGTCAAAATGTCGGACATCGTAAAACTTTTAAAGATTACAAAAAATTAACAAATAATCAGGACTTGGGAATTTTACGACGCTTCTTCGTCGTAATCGCCCATTTCCATTTTATCGATCAGAAAAGATCAATAATATCAATGATGTACGGTGACAATAATGAATAATAGATTTGTTCCGATGCGTTAGTTCATTATTTACAACATAGATCCTATTAGAGCGCATTGTATGAATATTTACGCTCATTGTTCTCAAAACAAAAGAAGCGCTCCTAGCGAATCCCTTTTTCTACGTTTATCCGTAGGACGAAGAAAATCTAATGGCGTTTCAATGCGTTAGGACGAAAATTGAAACTCGTAGGACGAATTTAGAATCAAGAAGCAGTATTAGATTTTAAACAATATCTCAACCATTTGTAACTCTTTATCACATCCAACGGTACGTATGGAAAGGTGAATAAATTTAGAAGTCATCTTTGACATAAATATTCCATTTTTTGTTCTTATCCGTTCAAAACAGATTGCTAACGCGCGGGTTGTCCTAAGTAGGACGGAAATTAGATCAAAAACCCTATAACTGAAATCATTTAAGAAAATCTTGGACTTGATAAATTTCCGAAATTCTGGGACATCGCTATTTATTTTAGATCTTAGATTTAATTTTTGGTATCCCGTACTAAGGAAAAGTTTAGAATTCTGAGCTTGAAGAAATATTAAAGATTCTGAAATTTCAAGATATCGGACTCGGAATTATAAATATAACGGAATTTAATTAAAATAGGTATATATTAAGGCTTCAATCAAATTCCCGGTTATTTCCCGGCTGTATCCGGTTCAGTGGCCACCATGACTATTGTACCACGTTATGGAACTAAAATACAAAGTGTTGCTTTTGTTTACTTTGCATTTCGAGCTGTTTAATTGGAATGAGGAACGTGTGCTTCATTTGTGCTCTCTTTGTGCTTTGTTTATGCTCTCTTACACACATCACACGTGTCTCAATGTTTTTTGCGTGCTCTCTCTCTGGTACCTTGCTCACGAAAAACAAAATATAGTGCCGGAAAGCGCACAGCACAACCTTTGTTGTGTTGTGCTGTGCCTGGAGAAAAATGCAACGATTTGTAGATTTTTTAAACCCTCATGCTATAGAACTAATAAGGAAAACACACCATGTTACGTAAATAAATAGACCCGTCCAATCCCAAACACGAGGTCTTACAACACATTCCGTTTGCTCTTTCCAGCTGATAGTGGGAATCCTGTTCGTGATAATCGGTAGTCTAAACATCAATCACAAGCACGAACAAATGGCAGCAATCGTCATTAACGACATCATAGTTGTACTAATTTTTATCATCTCACTTATGAATGTGATAATATCCGCTTTCGGTATGGAATATTCATCGCAACCATTACGCCTTCTCGACCGTGGAAGATATGATTCCATGTCCTCCACCACCACCACCAGCGGCACTGCTAGTTCTGGTAGTAGCAATAGCGGCAGTGGAAGTCAATTAATCCCCGACCCACTCCATAAGCATCAGTTGTTATAACACCACCTAACCTAACCCTTTCACAGGTCTCGGCAGCCCTGTTGGCCGTCATACTAACACTGGTTAACTTTCACAAAGGTGAACTTCAGCAACGGGTGGCCAACATCCTTAATCACTTCTCGTTGGCCTTTGTGGTGGTAGCCCTCTTCTGTGACGTAATCAAGATGAACTTTGGACTGGATCCAGCAGTTCCTTACATTCACAACTAAAAGCACTGATGTTTTAATTCGTTCGCATATTTTCACGATAAACAAACGCACAGATTGCTCAAGGTGTTGCCTGTATTATCCTGGCCAATTTCGACATCAACAAAGAAAAGAACCACAGGTTGGCTAATCTGGTCCAGAACCTTTCACTCGGTATGAACCTGTCGACCGTCGTGGTCAATATCATGATCAACAGCCTGGAGGTGAAACAGATGAACGATCAAGGAGTTGGGCTTTCGGACGGTTTGAGCATCAAAAATGAGTAAGGTTGAGGCCGTCCACGAACTACGTACTGCACCAGAACAGTGAAGCTGGTTGGTGGTGGCCGATTTGAGTTACGACGACGACCAAAGGCAATCTGACATGGCTTTCGAATATTTTGATTTTACGACACAATCCGTTGATCTCAGTTGAAACCAAAAAGTAACCAAATTCGATTTGTTTTGGAAATAATTATTTTGAATGTAACGCAATAAATTATCTCTTAAAGACTAAATTAGAAGCTGTAACAATAAAGTGAGTTGAAATAAAAATAAAAAAATAAAACTACACGATTCTAACGTTATTTGGATATCACTTCCTATTTGTATTTTTAAAAATTGATCTTGCTGTTGAGTGGAGCCGCATGCAGGGTAAGACTCAAACATACATACATACATCCTACCTATTTATATTATTCATTTCTGTTCTCGCAAAAGTATTGTTACATAAATAGGGTTAACTACCCCATTTCCGGCCTATTAAGCACAACCCGCACTTAGTATTTCTTAATCTTGCGCAGTTTAGCACCAAACGGAATGTTAGTATTGCTGATGGCTTCCACATTTGTTTACTTTTCCGTACGTACCGTAAGATTTGATAAAGAAAAACCAATCGTTGTGATATTGTCAAAAGTCTAACACTGCTTCTTGATGACAAACTCGGCCTACGGATTCTAAACTCGGCCTAACGCATTGAAACGCCAATGAATTCACTTCGGTCTATCGGATGAAGATACAAATTGATTCGGTCGGAGCGCTTCTTTTGTTTTTCGGAATAATGGGTGCAAACCTTCATATCACGCGTTCTCATTGACTTCGTGCCGTAGCTTATTAACTAAAGTATCGTAACAAACGCATAATTGACTTGTTAACCCATGAAGTCATGGATTTATTTGAAGTTTTCTGCTCGATAGGCCCAAAATGGGTGATTAGGCCGAAGTAGTTCTCTACCCTGCACTCCCGATCATAAGTTTGAGTTCACCCTTTAAAAACATGTAAACGTTTTTTGCTCATATCTCTGCCATTTTACGACCGATTCTCGATCTTTGTTTATAATAGCAGCGCATGCCGATTTTCATACAAAATGGTCAACTTGATGTAATTTTGATGTCTTATGGAGTCTTGTGTGATTGGAATCGCTGGAGGATGTGCGCGGAATGATGGTCATGTATTGTTTGTCGGTAAATATCGTGGAGAATGATTCGGATCCGTCTGTCATACGCAGAATGTATACATTTTGTGTACGTTGGACGAGTTCCGGGTCGTTTTCTGCCATTTCTGAATCAAGTTGGATTTGGTGAGTTTGTTCCAGTTGAAGAACGTTCTTATACATTTGTTACAATTTTTCTTGATTTCTTGATTTTGTGGGTTTTTGAGGTTGGCTTTTGGCTGATCGGAGTGTGTCATTGGGATTGATGATTAAGGTTCAGGACAGTGAAAATTATATGGTAGTATATTATTCCATTATTGATATCAAAACATTTGTAACAAAGATGTTACATAACTGCCATTGGATCTATCGATTTAAATTATTAAAGTTTATCAGAAGTTTCCTTAATAAAGAAACAAAAACAACTAATTATAAAGTAATGAAATTGGGTTGTTAGTGGAATGCTTAAATAAAACAGCAAGAAAAGGTTATCTTCCATTTAATTTTACTTAATTAATTTTGGTATCCTTTTATCCTTCGTTCGGGCTGGGTTTATTGGTTCATTTTTTCAGCCCTTCGATGACGGAAAATCTTTGGATTTATAGTATAATGATTAAATTTTTTCAGCCTTTGTTCAGGCTGGACCTATTGAATTAAATTATTTACGTTTATTGATTTATTAAATTTATTTACAGTCCTTCGATGATGGAAAATCTTTAGATTAATATTAATATTAAGTTTAATCAAGTTTATCTCCTTAATGAGGCCTAATTGCAATTTGACAGATCTGAGTAGGATGTGCGTGTTTGAACCTGACGTTTGTTTTTTCCGTGGAGTTTTTTTTTATTTATAAACGGTTGCATTCTAGTTCCCTATCATAAATTAGCCGCTGAGAAGCTGTTCCGAAGCCAAGTAGAACCTGCACGAGGCGTTCCATCATTTGTCCCATCATTAGTTCCATCATTCGTTGAGTCGCAGCGTTGAACCTGACTATTGGCCACGAAAAGGCTTGCCAATGCATATCAAAAATCGACTACATACACCCGAAAATTTGTTTATCTCAAATCGAAGGAAGACATTCCGCGCAACTACCATAAACCGGACTAGTTCACGTTGATCTTCGTCAAGCTTCGTCAACAATTTTGAATTCTACATCAACACATGTCAGGCAGCCTTCAGGTTCAATTGGCTAAACTTGGTGAGTTCGAGATCACCTTTTTATGGTGCGTTACTGGTATAAGATCTGCCACCGAACCCTAGTCGTGACAACTTCAAACTAGGAAATCAGGATTTTCCAATAATCAAAGGATCACATTTTAGTCCTTGTTACTTTTTAAGGCATGATAATACTGACATGACTCCGCGCCGTTATGCATTTATATATAGAGATTAGTGACGTTTAACGCACGCACACTAGAGGGAGAAACGCCGTGTAAAGTTGTTTATTATTTTCCTCTGGCTAACCTAAAAATGTATGAAAGTAGACCTGTCAAAATGAGTTTGACATCGATTTGTTATGTATTTTCCTCGGATATTCACTAACGCGCTCTCACATATCGCACCAATACATCCGGACGTGAAAATCTCTATTGTAGGGGGAATGGCTTTAATGTTGGCCTATGGATCTAAGATTAGGCCCATCGCTAAAAATCTGCTATTTCTAGAGTAACATTTGAAATGGGCCTATGTCCAAAACGTAAACAAACCAGAAAATGAATTTTAAATTTTGACCGCCACTATTCAATTCATATTTAAGAAAATTGAAGTATTTTAGGCATTTATATTGTTCACAATGACAATAGTAACTGTATCTCAGTATACAACATCCAAAATATACGAAAAGCTTTCAAAAATATATGAAAATCGATAACAATATAATTTCATAAATTAATAAGCCTTTTTGTGAATTTTTCAATGGATAGGTCCTTTTTGTTAAGCCGTTGTGCTTGTCATCAGAAATGGTAGACCCTTTGGTAAGCCTTCTTGCAACGTCAAATAAATTCAAAACAAATCATCGGCCCTGCCTCAAGCAGTAGGGCCTAACTTTGGTTTGAAATTTTTCAATCATCGGCCCTTCTACGTCACTAGGCTTATCAATGAAATGAATGTAATGAATGGTTGGCCGTTTCAGCGTGCGGGCCTATTAATGAATCGAATAATTTCGTTGATTGGCCGTTTCGAAAATCGAGTTATTTTTAATGATTTTTCTCGATTATGCGGAACTTTCCTACACGATTAGTAGCTATCAAGCGGTGCTAAAGAATGGTATCAAAACATGATTTGTTTACGTTTTGGACATAGGCCCATTTCAAATGTTACTCTATTTACTTTTATTTCTTCTTTCCTTTATTTAACGTCGGTCTCTGTTCCGCAATCTAGTGCCAATCACCGACGGACATCGATTGCCATCCATTGACGGCAATCGAATGTGCAGGAAGGCAGCTTCCACACCTGCGTAGGATATCGCACCCATTCAACACACATGGGCCGGGACCAACGGCTTTACTTCCCTTCCGAAGGAAGACGTGACCAGCGATTTTAATGCCTCAAAAAAATCCCACCGACCTCGGCTGGAATTGAACCCAGACCCATCGGGGTGTTAGAAAGCAGCCACGCTTACCACTACACCACCGGCGCCGGCTAAAATCTGCTATTTATCAATTGTATCTAGATGAGCGCTAATTGGGACTGAACTAATGGATATTTTTGATTGCTATTGAAAATTTAGTCGATTGCTGAATTTATGCATGAGCCCAAATTAGGGACACTTAGGCCGACATTACATACATTTCCCCTATATTTCAAATCAAAAATATTTTTTATGTTCATAGATTTCACATAATCCTTTTCCCTTTGTCCTTCTCCTTTTCCTTTCCCTCTTCTCTTTTCAGAAAGCGAGTAATGGCGCTATAGCCATAAGTCATAAAAGGCTAGGACAAGAGTTAGTGCTCATGCCCCAACCGTCAGAAGAAAATGGAGCATCACTTAACCTTTCTAGCTTTGATGCTTCCAACGACCAACCAATCATATAATTACCAAAATCGGAACGTACGGTACGAGATGTCCACGTTTCATCCATTTATTGGATTCTGAAGCATCGTGTTTAAATTTTCGATTTAAACAGGCCCGATGTTTTCTGAATCATCTTGTCCCTTAAATGCTGCACAGTAGGCCTGGCCGTTTTGATATGTGTCTTCGATGTGAAACATATATCAAATAGACAAGAAAAATGATGTAGGTATATACATCATTTTCCAGGATGCTTTCAAGAACTGGCTGTGTTGATGTTAGATTAAATTAGATTAGATTAGATTAATGAGGCCTAATTGCGATTTGAGGGGTTGGGGGTTTAAAAATCTTCAATCGTCTATCTCTTTAATTAAGGCCATAAATCACGATTTGAGCGGTGCTTGAGTGTTCAAACTCTGTAATCGCGTTTATCTCCTTAATTAAGACCTAAATAGCGATTTCAACATAGAGTCCATGAAGGGTGGAAGTTCATGGGCGTGAATTTTTGAAATCTTAGTTCAGTGGTTTTTTTTTATATAGAAATAACGACGCGATAAAGTTAACTTTTTTTTTAATATGTATATGACTGTTTAAAGCGGAGACCCTGGATGAGCGATTGATATTAAGCTTATGAAACATGGAGGCCGCTAATTAAAGATCATTCGGATGAGATTATTTCCAGTTATTTGTTTTAATTTAATTCAATATTTACCAAATAACGTCTCCTCAAATTAATTGAGGCTGCCGCTTTTGCTTACTGAATTGAAGATTGTCTGCTTAAGAACTGTAGATCGGAAATCCATATCAAGAGCGCCAATGGGATAACAACAAGTTGAACGGTTCATGTAAGGAGCTCGGTGACCTAGTGACGACTGATTTTGCTTACTGAGAAGAAGACCGCGGGTACAATCCCACTATTACGCTATTAAATCACTAGGACATCAATTCAGCATATCGTTTACCAAAATGATTCCTGCTGCAGTCCCAACCCTTTTGTCCAACATCCCAGTCATTTATCGTGGAAGTGCAGAGGTGTTCTCGGCTTTCAGTAAAGCGAGTATTACGTCAACATATTCCTACCCATTCCTTTCTTGAC